GGATCCTGGAGGCAGGGGCTGATGCAGAGGCCATGGAGGGGTGCTGCTTACTGGCTTGCTTCCCCTGGCTTGCTCTGCCTGCTTTCTTATAGAACCTAGGACCACCAGCCCAGGGGTGGCACCACCCACCATGGCTTGGGCCTTCCACCATTGATCACTAAATGAGAAAATGCCTTACAGCTGGATCTCATGGAGGTATTTTCTCAATTGAGGCTCCCTTCTTTCAGGTAACTCTAGCTTGTGTCAAGTAGACATAAAACTAGCCAGCACACCCTCTCATTGATTGGGCTCCTCTTACTGCATTTTCTAGAGTTATGTCTAGTGGCTTGAGCAGATTCAAGCTTGATTTTTTATTAATAATTTTCTACTCACCCTACATACCACCCCACAGAACCCACCTCCTCCCTCCTGCCACCCCCCAGCCCTCCCTCCCAAGCCACCCCCGATCCCCACATCCTCCAAATCAAGGTCTCCCATGGGGAGTCAGCAGAGCCTGGCACACCGAGCCGAGGCAGGTCCAAGCCCCTCCCCGCCGCACCAAGGTGCCACACCAAAGGCACGGGCTTCCAAAAGCCTGCCCATGCAACAGGGATGATCCTAATGTCCCCGCCTGGGTGCCCCGCAAAACAGTTCGAGCTAAACAGCTGTCTTCTGTATCCAGAGGCCTAGTCTAGTCCCACGGGGAGCTCCACAGCCATTAGTCCACAGTTCATGGGCTTCCACTAGTGTGGCCAGTTATCTCTGCATGTCTTCCCATCATGGTCTTGATATCCCCCGCCAACGGAATCCCTCCTCTCTCCAATCGATTGGATTCCCGGAGCTCAGTCTGGTGCCGGCAGTGGATCCCTGAATCCACCTCCATCAGTCACTAGATAAAGGCTCTATGATGACAGTTAGGGTATTCACTAGACCGGTCACCAGAGTAGATCAGTCCTGGCACCCCCAATCACTGCCAGCAGTCCAGGGTGGGGTCATCCCTGTGGATTCCAGACAGGGTTTCTCTGTGTAGCTTTGGAGCCTGTCCTGGATCTCACCCTGTAGACCAGGCTGGCCTCGAACTCACAGAGATCCACCGGGCTCAAGCTTGATTTTTATTTTCTGGTTCATAATACATGACAGATTTGACCATGTTTGACCTGAGTGAGGTCTTCCTTCCTCTCCCTTTAAAAACTAAAGTAGGCTATGAATGAGGACTCTGCCGTAGGAAAAACCATGAATGGCCACTGTTGCACCTGCCCTCTTGGCAATAAGCCCGAGTGGGATGGGATTCAGGGGGCATCTCTTCTCTTCTCCACCGCGGGACTTTCTGCTTACCGTGTTTCATGTCCACTTCCTACTGCCCCTGGGGAGGAGGCACCATTAACCCTATTGGTCAGACCTGGAAACTGAAGCCAGAGGAATAATCTGACAGTGTTGGGTGTGGACTACGTCTGTGACCTTCTGAGGCCAGCCTGGGAAGCAGCAAGAGGTTTTGAGGGAACAAGAGCCTCTAGCATCCCTGCAGAACCATCCTTTTTGTTCTTGCCTGAAGATGGGATTGGCTTGCTTTCTTGATAAAGAATTTAGGACATATAAACTCAAGTGATACTGGACTTCTACTCTCCACGTGGAATAGTTTCCTCTGCAGGGACCCGGTATAGTACGCACTCCCAGGGAATGATGGCTCCCCATGGTGGGAAGAGGGACCAGGCGCCTTTTGCTGACTCATAGATTGTTTCTCTGTTATTAAGATTTGGGTTTTGCCGGGCAGTGGTGGCGCACGCCTTTAATCCCAGTATTCAGGAGGCAGAGGCAGGAGGATCTCTGTGAGTTTGAGGCCTGCCTGGGCTACAGAGCGAGTTCTAGGAAAGGTTCCAAAGCTACACAGAGAAACCCTGTTTCAAAAAACCAAAAAAAAAAAAAAAAAAAAGGATTTGCGTTTTGATTTTATTTAATGCCCTTCCCTCCCCCTCCCCCAAAAGGGTGAGCATGTGCGTCAACTTTGCAGAAAAACAGCTAAGCAGCCTTTGAGGGGCGACCTCTGTATCAGCTTCCTGGGCTGCTGGAACGCTGTGCCCCAAGCTGGGTGAGAGACTGCAGTGAACCCAGCGTCTGCAGCCTCCGGGGAGGGCCCACTGCCTTCCAAGCTTCTGGCACTGCCAAGGGTCTGACTTTCCTTGGCACACGGCTGCGTCACTGTTTTCTGCTGACGTCATCACACAGCCTTCTCCGTGTGTGTCAGTTTCCAGATTTCCCTCTTACAATAAGGACACTAGTCCTGCTGGATTAGTGCCAACATAATGACCTCATCTTAACTTGATTCCTCCACAAAGACCCAGTTCTAAATCAGGTCAATGTTGCCAGGTAAGTCAGGCACAAGGATATCAGAGAGTGTCTGGGGAGACAGTTCAACCCATTACAGCCATTTAGGACAGGATGCTGTGAACTCAACCGAATCATTACCATGCTGTTCAATATAGATGGCATGTGAGGACAGACTTCATACAGAGGTGGGGTGTAGCTTGGTGGGAGAGGGGCTGCCTAGCATGTGTGAAGCCTTGGGCTTGACTCCAGCACTGAAAAAAAAAAAAAGGAAAAAAAGAGGGGCTGGCATGTGGTAGCAGAGTGCTCCCCTAGCATACAGAGCTCTGGGTTCAATCCTTAGCACTGCACAAACTGGGTGTGGTGGCACACGCCTCTTATCCCATCATTCAGGAGTTACAGACTGGAGGATCAGGAGTTCAGAGTTATCTTTGGCTAGGTAACAAGTTTTATAGGTCAGCCTGGGCTATCCAAGAGCCCGTCTCCAACAACGGAAGAGAAAAAGTGAACCCTTTGAACTGCCCGCAGGTGAGACTCACAGAGCTGTTAACTAGCAGAAGTAAGGCCTCACTCCCTTAGCCCTTTGCTGCTGGCTGCAATACTTCTGGAAGCCCTTCTCACGTGCTGTTGCAGGAACAGTCCTAAGCCGAAGTGTCAAGTGCAATGGGGGCCTGAGGGCCCCAGCACAGGGGGGCTGGGCGGAAAGGAAGCGCTCTTCTTACGAAGTTGCCTTTGGCCCTGTGTTGCCAGTTGTTGCCAAGCTGAGTCCAGGGCTGGGTCTAGGGGAAGGTGCAGCACTGTGCCAACCTCAGGGGTGGCAGCATAGCCTGGCAATATCCAGGGCAACAGAAGCTAGAGGTTTAGGTGAACACTTCCAGCAAACAATCTATGAACCAGCCCATCTAGGGGCTACATGTGAGTGTGTTCAGAAAATGAGTATTTATTCTAGAGTATTTATTCCAAGTTCACTTGCAAGTTGTATCAGAGCAGATGTACTGGGCATGAGGGGGCTCTGTCTGTGGTTGGGGAAGGCTGGATGCCTGTGTGACTTACTCCCCTAGGGGTGGGTCTTGGCACACAGGATGATTGCAGGGGTAGGGGGAAGGCCCCCAAACTGGGAAGGTAACAGATGGCTGGAATTGGTGTTTTGTGATGTGTCTTACTGGAGAAGGTCAGGTGAATCTTGATGGTGGCAAGTAGGGACAAATGTGGGTTATTGTATTCCCTGTGAGAGCACTGTAGGAAAAGTGATGTAGGGTGGTGTCACTCAGATGCCCACACCCAGTGTCCTTGTTTGCTGACTAGGCCAGGCCCAGGGCTCTACAACCAGGTGGGTCCAGGGCCAGGCATCAAATGAATGAATGGAGTGACTATATGGCAGATTTGTCCAGGGAGGGACTGAGTTTTAGGACTGTTCTAGCAGCTTTGTGATGTTTAGTCACTTTCCTTCAAGTGTTAAGCCACCACTGTTGCCAGGGAGGCTACATGTGTACATGCCATTTATTTGGCTCACTAGGAAACAAACTGATACCTCAGTGCACACATGTATACACACACCATCTGTGTGCCAGTTCTAAGACACGGTCTTGTTATGCAGCCCAGGCTGGCCTTGGACTGAGTGCAAGGACGGTCTCTGGTTTTACTCCCTGAGTGCGGCAATAGCAGGAGAATGCTGCCATCCCTGGCTTATGTGACAATCCCTTTTTATGAGTGTTTGGTCTACATGTAAGCGTACCACAGGCATGCAATAATCACAGAGGTCACAAGAGTGTCGGATCCCTGGGAGTGGGTTACAAATGGTTGTGAACCACCACGTTTGTCCTGGGAACTGAACCCGGGTCCTCTGCAAGAACAGTGTTCTTAACCTAAGCCATCTCCCCAGTTCCTGGTGTGACAATTCTTAATTAAAAATATGTTCATATTTAAGCTGGGTGTGGTGGTGCGTCTTTAATCCTAGCACTCAGGAGGCAGAGGCAGGTGAATGTCTGAGTTCGTGGCCAGCCTGATTTACTGAGTTCAAGGACAGCCAGAGCTATACAGAGAAACCCTGTCTCAAAAACAAACTCAAACAAATGTTTGTATTTAATAATGGGATTCATAAATCTTTTTCAAGTTTTTTTCTGGTGATGGGTAAAAGGGAGATGACAATTCATGTCCTTTTCTTATTTGAGAAAAAAATGTAGAATTCTCTATATTCTCCATGTAGAATCTTAATTGGAACATGCCCAAATATACGGTATTTTAAAGAACTTTAGCAAACTGGTAGGTAGGATTTATTTTAATTTTCAATCTGGAAAAAAAAAGCCCAAAACACAAGACCCCAAACTCTGCACACACACACGCGCGCGCGCGCGCGCGCGCACGCACACACACACACACACACACACACACACACACACACACACACAGTGTCAACATTTTCAGAGCACTGATACAAGGGAATATTCCCTTCAATTGCATGACAATACTGTTTTATGTGTCACAATAAAAGTTACAAGAGTCTTGTCTGCAGTCACACAAACATCATGAGTTTACATTTTAACACACAATTTAAAAACAAAAAACGAAAAACAGACATCTTCCGGCACTTCATCCTTGTGACCACGGCCCGTTTCCATAAACATTTAAAAAACCCAACAGTGGTGTTTTGGAAGGCGTAGCCTTTCCAGATCCACGCTAAAATCATGAGAGATTTGCCATTTAAGAGAACAACCAAGATTTTATTCATAGGTTTGGTGAATCCACTCACCAAAAGATGTGTAAAAAACTGCACGAGAATAAAAATAAATAAGCGTTGTTGCCAAGCCAGCCTCGCCGACATGGTAGCCAGAACAGGGCACATAGCACTCAGGACCATCTCCTGAAGTTTTCAGGTGCCTACGTTAAAATTACAACTTTCCAACAAATCAAATGAAGAGAGAGAGACTGGGTAAAAGGTTTGAAGATGTTCACATTCAGGCTGGCCATCTCTTCAGCAGCACTTTGGGGCGTGCGGCGGCAGCAGCGGTGACATATTGCGTGTTTGGACATAAGGCACCGTGATCTGGACGTGCCGTTCACTCCCTTTCGGGCACCCGTTCCATCCCAGTGACTTCTTTGAAATGAAAAGTAGTACTAATTTCAGGACACAGTGCACTTTAATGACATACAGCATTAGAAACCCCTCGGACGGGGGTCTGAGGACAGTCTTTGAATGTAAGCCTGAATCTTCAAGCACATAAAATCTTTTCCTATGCTTACAAATCACTGGAAAAATACCCATCGCCAAACCCTGATATACATTCTTAGCCACTTTATTTTCTTCCATTGCAGCCAGTGTTCATGAGGCAAAACGCGACCCCGAGACTCTGTTCAAGTTCTCCTGTGAGGGTGTCTACATTCACGGGGGTCATTCGGCCTCTGTCTCCTTCTGTTTGGCACCTGCTGGGAGATGGAAAGTTTCAAGCTCATGCTCCTGGGAGGGTTCTCTGCTCAAGCCGATCCCACCCAGCCTGGCAGCGGCTGAGGACAGCCAGAGGCTTCCCAACAGAGAGGTGGGAGGAATGGGCGGCTCCAAGAGCCCTACCCCCTCCACCATCACTTGGGCTCTGATCTTTATCACACCTTGCCACTCTAAATGTCAGATTCCACTGCTAAAAAAGTAAAAATAAATAGGCAGTTACTTCAGTCACCATGCATCTATATCTATATCTATATATCTCTCTCTATATATAAACATAATACATCTCTAAGGATAACTGAACACACAATGGTTACTAGCACCTGCTCGTTTCACGTGCGTTGGTAGGCAGGGCTACTCTTCTATCCACAGTACCTCCCTGGCTTTCATCTGACCCGTTTTTTTTTTTTTTTAATTAACTTAAAAAACTTTGATGTATATGGGTGCTCTGCCTACATGTATATCTCTACACCATGCCTGTGCCATGCCCAAGGAGGTCAGAGAGGGTGTCAGATTCTCTGGGACCAGAGTTACAGACAGTTGTGACCTGCTAGGTGGGTGCTGGGAATCGAACCCGGGTCCTCTGGAAGAGCAGCCAGTGCTCTTAACCTCTGAGCCAACTCTAGGCCCCTGGCTTTGGTTTTCTGAGGCAGGATCTTGCTATGTGGCTCAGCCTGGCCTCTGCCTTCAGAGGGCTGGGATCCACGTGTGCATTCTGCGTCAAGACTACACACGTGACTTTGGAGAGAGAGTAACAACAGATTAGAAGAAGGGGCTTCAAACTGTAGCTAGTACTGTCAGACTGCTTCCTGGTGGGTGAGTGTGCAACAAAGGCTCATTTCAAGTGTGAGTTCCACTGCGATGTTGCTAAGCACTTTGAAAAAGAGAAAATGTGATTGCATTGAGCAAGTATCCGTATTAGAGCAGCTGTGGCCACATCTGCTCAGCTGCTGTTGACAATGTCATGTCACAGTGGCTGTGCTTCCTTCAAGGGGATCCCCTAAGCATCCAGCTGAGCTGCTCACTGTGGGCAGAAGGCCTGCATCTGCACTCATGCTGTGGTTCCACCTCTTGGTATGTCAGGAGGGATGGGGCTGCAGAGATGGCTCAGTGGTTAAGAGCACTGGCTGCTCTTCCACAGGACCCGGGTTCAATTCCCAGCACCCACATGGCAGCTCACAACTGTCTGTAACTCCAGTCCCAGGGATCTGACACCCTCACACCAATGCATATAGGTGGGGTAACTGGGATATATACCATCACTCTCCTGATCTGTAAGCATGCTAGTTACCTTGCAAAAGTGAGCATCCTGAGTTCCATGGGAGCTCTGCTCTACATATTCAGAACGCAACATTTTCCCCACTGAACCATTACATACTCCAACCCAGCCTCCCTGTTTTTATGAGAGGGTTTCCATGGTAAATCCATTCCAAATGTCAGCTGTGAAACAGATTTCTGCACTGTACCCACAAGGATGGGAGGAGCAAGAATGATTGATAACTTTGGAAATACCTAGTTTAGATGGAAATCTAAAGTCATACCCAGCCTGCTCTGAGGCACCAAGGCTCAGAGAGAATGGTCCACTTGCCAGTTTACTCTGGTATTCTGATGCCCAAAAGATCTCAAGGGGATAAATGAGGGCCTGCACTGAGGTGACGGCATGCCTGAGTCTGGGGCTGGTCCTGGACAGGGCATCCTTCTCTGAGGGTACTACCTACCCGTGTGTCTACCCAGACAACGGCTTTCTCATTTGCATGGGGAGAGCCTGTGGTTTCGCCTGCTTGAAGATTTACTTACACATAATCAATCACAAGCTACAGGTTAACAGGACTTCCCAGTTTTGTTTGTATTAGAGTAGCTCTGTTCACTTTTGGTGCTTCCACAGGGTGGAAGTCTGTTTCCCCTTCCATCTTTGGAAAGATACTAGGTTATTTCCAACTTAAAGGTTGTGGTGGTTTGAATGAGAACGGCCCCCAGTTGGTAGAACTGCTTGGGAAGGATTAAGAGGTATGGCCTTATTGAAGGACATGTGTCAGCTGGGGTGGGCTTTGGGATTTCAAACCCCCCCCCCCATTAGCACTCTCTCTCTCCCTCTCTGCCCGTTTGTAGATCAGATGTGAACTCTCAACTACTGCTCCAGCGCCATGCCTGCCTGCCACTATGCTCCACATCCTGATGGTCACAGACTCACCCTCTGAAACTGTAAGCTGCAATAAACTCCGTCCTTTTTAAGTTGCTTTGGTCCTGGCAGCTTTACAGTAATAGAAAAGTAACTAAGGCAGGGTGATAGTATCAACACAACTCAATTCATCTGATGCCTGATTGTTCGGGATTGTGAAGCTCTCTGTGAACTTCAGCCAGTCTGGAAAGGACTACAAGGGGCCACCTACGGATGTGTTTCAGATTCAGCACGTGGGAGGTGGGCCCACATGAACATCTCTCATAACTTCTGCAGGCTGCTGCTCCTGGCCAAGGTCCCTGTGAAGGTGACTCTTTGGGGTTGGCTCTGTGGCTTCTGCATCTGGAGAGTTGGGCAGGACTACGGCGGTTTCTGGGGACTCTTATAGTGGGTAGTTTTAGCGAACATACTAATTACAAAAGCTAGCTTTAGAGAGATTGATTGATGTCTGAACTAAAGAAAAGCAATACCACAGTGGGTGACAATTTAATGAGTACTGCTAGAGTTCAAAGTATGTGCCACCTACTGTCGCGTCTGTCCGGGGTCTGTGACCCTGTAGAAAAAGCTAGTTGGTTTCTATGATGGGGCTGGAGAGGTAGGGGAGGGGATGGAAAGAGAATGTGAAGGCAGGGATGTGGTAGTGTTTTAAGGCCTCATCAGGCCCCCTCTTACCATAAACACACGGCCAGCTCTGTGCCCCTGCCCCTGTGTGTGCTTTCTAGAAACTTTCCTTACCCAAGGAGAACATTAGAACTTCAAAAACAAAAAGGAAAGTCAAAAAGATCTGCAGAGCAGCACACACAATGCCCTGCTGTGTGGGAGGTGGGGGCGGGGTGTCTTCAGCGCCTGTCCTGGAAATCTTGGATATCAATCAATCAACCTACCTGTTTATCCTTTTGAGACAGGTCTCTTTATGTAACCCTAGTTGGCCTGGAGCTCACTAGGTAGACCAGCTGGCCTCAGGCTCACAGAGAACTTCCTGTTTCTGCCTCCTGAGTGCCAGGATCAAATTCATGTGATATTGTGCTGGCCTGAAATCTGCATTTTTACCTGCTGGTGTGAGGATCAGGACTTGCAGGATGTCTGACAGGGAGATAACACCCACAATACTATCTGCATTTTTACCTGCTGGTGTGAGGATCAGGGCTTGCAGGATGTCTGACAGGGAGATAATACCCACAATACTATCTGCATCATTCACTACCACCAGCCGATGGACCTGTAAAGAGAAAATTCCAGGTGTAAGTTCTGTGTGTGTGTGTGTGTGTGTGTGTGTGTGTGTGTGTGTGTGTGTGTTGCACTTGCCCATGTAGGCATACATGGAGGCCAGAGGTTGATATCAAGGTTTTTTTTTTTCCTAAATTGCCTCACTTTTTTTCTCCCCCAAGACAGGGTTTCTCTGTGTAGCTATAGCTGTCCTAGAACTCACTCTGTAGACCAGGCTGGCCTTGAACTCTGAGATCTGCCTGCCTTTGCCTTCCAAGTGCTGGGATTAGAGGTGTGAGCCACCACTGCCCAGCTGCCTCACTATCGTTCGTTCATTCATTCATTCATTCATCCATATTTTCTGTGTATGGGTGTTTTGCCTGTATATATGTCTGTGCACCACATGCATGCAATGCCCCTGGAGGCCAGAAAGAGGGTGTCCAATCCCCTGAGACTGGATGGTTGTGAGCAGCCATGTGGGAATCCAACAGTCCAACTTGTGTCCATTGGAAGGGCAGTAAGAACCTGTAGCCTCTGAGCCATCTCTCTAGCCCCGCATTATTATTATTTTTTAGATGGAATCTCTCACTGAACCTGAAGCTTGCCATTTTATTAGACTGGCTGGTCAGTGAGTCCAGGATCCACCTATCTCTGCCCTACCAGAGCTGGGGTTACAGGACTCTACTGCTGTCCCCGTTTGGGTGAGTGCTGGGATCTGAATTCAGATCCTCCTGTCTGCATAGCAGGCAATTTATCCACTGAGCCATCCTCCTAGTCCACATGTGAAAGTTTGAATTAAAAACATTTAAAAATGCATGTTGGAAAAAAAGGCAAGCAGGAAACTGTACAATGATCCAGCTGCACAGGAGGCCCGCACAGTGGATGTCTGCAGGAAACTGTACAATGGTCCAGCTGCACAGGAGGGCGCACAGTGGATGTCTGCAGGAAACTGTACAATGGTCCAGCTGCACAGTGGATGTCAGGAAACTGTACAATGATCCAGCTGCACAGGAGGGCCGCACAGTGGATGTCTGCAGGAAGGTGTACAATGGTCCAGCTGCATAGTGGATATCTACAGGAAACTGTTCAATGGTCCAGCTGCACAGGAGGGCCGCACAGTGGATGTCTGCAGGAAACTGTACAATGATCTAGCTGCACAGGAGGGCTGCACAGTGGATGTCTGCAGGAAGGTGTACAATGGTCCAGCTGCACAGTGGATGTCAGGAAACTGTTCAATGGTCCAGCTGCACAGGAGGGCCGCACAGTGGATGTCTGCAGGAAACTGTACAATGATCCAGCTGCACAGGAGGGCCGCACAGTGGATGTCTGCAGGAAACTGTACAATGGTCCAGCTGCACAGTGGATGTCAGGAAACTGTTCAATGGTCCAGCTGCACAGGAGGGCCGCACAGTGGATGTCTGCAGGAAACTGTACAATGATCCAGCTGCACAGGAGGGCCGCACAGTGGATGTCTGCAGGAAACTGTACAATGATCCAGCTGCACAGGAGGGCTGCACAGTGGATGTCTGCAGGAAACTGTACAATGATCCAGCTGCACAGGAGGGCCGCACAGTGGATGTCTGCAGGAAACTGTACAATGATCCAGCTGCACAGGAGGGCTGCACAGTGGATGTCTGCAGGAAACTGTACAATGATCCAGCTGCACAGGAGGGCTGCACAGTGGATGTCTGCATGAAACTGTACAATGATCCAGCTGCACAGGAGGGCTGCACAGTGGATGTCTGCAGGAAACTGTACAATGATCCAGCTGCACAGGAGGGCTGCACAGTGGATGTCTGCATGAAACTGTACAATGGTCCAGCTGCACAGGAGGGCTGCACAGTGGATGTCTGCATGAAACTGTACAATGGTCCAGCTGCACAGGAGGGCTGCACAGTGGATGTCTGCAGGAAGGTTTGGGTCCAGAGGTGAAATGTAACACCAATTTGCTTGACCACACTGAGAAAAATGAGGCAGCTCTGTCTGTGGAGCTTCCACATTTCAAACTATCTATAAAGGAATGATACAACCCAAAATTAACAATCTCAGTCTGTGTATGCATGCATGTGGTGGGCATGGAGGCCAGAGCTCTGTCCACACTGGGTGACTTCCTCCATGCTTCTCCACGGGCTCTCTCCCTGAACCTAGAGCGCACCGACTCGGCTGCACTGGCTGGCTAGCAGGCCTGGCAATCCTCCTGCCTCTGCCTCCCCGGCACTACCGCATCTGGCTTTTTTACCAGAGAACTGTGGATCAATCTGGGTTCTTGTGCTTGTGTGGCAGGAACTTTGCCAACTGAGCCGACTCCACCCCAGCCTCTCAATTTCAGTACCCGAGCTCAGTCTCTTGTAGCCAGTATGCAACTGGATTTAGCTGGGCAAGGGAAGTCCAGGAGGTCGTGGAAACTTAGGACTGGGCTCTGCTCTTTCCTCTCCTGCTGGGACTGTGCTGTGGCATTCCTACATTAGTGCTAATGTTCAAGAGGAGAAAGTGTGGCAGAGTGGGGCAGGTGCAGTCCCCTCTAGTGTTCTCATCTACAATCTTCCAGAGGTGAATGGAGAGCTCGAGGAGAGAGCAGAGTGTGGAACAGCATTCCAACCTCCTCTTCTTCTGCCTGGGGCCAAAGGTTACCTGGGTGATCCTTGAGGCATCAGTCAGCCTTAGCTCCTGGCCAAAATGGGACGCAGGAGGAGCTGCAGGGGAGGGAGTCTGGCTTAAGCATTTTGTCAAAGGATAATGTTTTTGATGTCGTAACTTGCTTTAGGGTTAAAAAAAAGAGTCACCTTGGTTATCTTTCTTGTGTCAATCAACACAGATTTCTTTACAAAGTTTCTTTAAAAAAACTTTCAGGTCCTTCACTAATCCTGTGATAAAACTCAGCACTGTAACTGTGATTTAGGATAAAATGATGATTTATTTTTATTATGTTTATTTATGTATGGAGAGACATGTGCGTGACCGCCAAAATATGTCTGAAGAACTTGTAAAAGTCATCTTCTTGTTAAACAGGCTGATGGTGACGACATACACTCTGGCTCTGGGAGGAGTCATCTGGTGAAGGAATTTTAGCAACAGACATGGCAATAGAAAAAATAGACTGCTAGTGATTTTCACCATTAACACTTTCCTACAAAGTGATCTGTAGTTCTCACAATGGATTCCATCACATAGATGTCCACTGTCATCACAGAGAGGGACGACACCTTTCCTATTCCTGCTTCTGACCTATGGAGGGCACATGACTCTAAGGACATTCATGAGACTTTAGGATGCATTCCCAAGTATGTTAGAACCTTCTAGAAAACAAGATGGATATAGCACAGTTTAAGAAAAGGGGAGATTTAGCCGGGCAGTGGTGGCGCATGCCTTTAATCCCAGCACTGGGGAGGCAGAGGCAGGCGGGTCTCTGTGAGTTCGAGGCCAGCCTGGTCTACAGAGTGAGTTCCAGGACAGGCAGGACTACACAGAGAAACCTTGTCTTGAAAAACCAAAAAGAAAAGTGAAGATCTGCCAGTAAAATGCTGTGCTGAAGAGCAATGGCCACAGCTGGGGAGGGAGAAGCTGAGGGAATGAAGTCAGACACCACATGGAGCCTAGCCTCTGTGGGACGGCAGCTGGAGTCTATAGGACAGAGGCTGGACTCCATGGGAGCTCAGAGGAATTCTAGCAGCAATGGCTCTCAATGCAGCCCATGGCTTCAGCAGCATGTGCAGTACAGCTTTCACTCTGGAAGTTACGGTCGCCTCTTAGCGGTTTCAAAACTAATCAGGTGCTTTGTCTTAGCTTGCACACCTGTATTTGTAATACTGAAATAGACTTGTCATTAGGAGTTCATTTTGCTTAGAAGGGAATGTTCTGGAAAGAACAGAACTGTATCCTTCAGTCCTTGAGATGGACACTGGGGGAAGGGGTGTGGTGGGACAAGGCACACAGGATGCCACTCCCAGCCCTGTCTGAGAAGAAAGGAATGGTCGTGAGAACGAGAAGGTGGCCTGACACACACGCACAACAGTGACCTTTCTTCCCTCCTGGGAACACTGTGTAAGGTACACCTGAAAATTCCACAAGCAGTAAGGTCCAGGCAGTGTGGGGGCGGCTGCTCGGGCTGGGCAGAGTTTACTGTTCACGTCAGTCGGGGGCAGAGAGAGACAGGAAATGAACTTTAAAACGTTCTGTCTGGGGCTGGTGAGACAGCTTGGGGTAGAGTGCTTGTCATGTAGGCTTGATGATCTGTGTTCAGTCCCTAGAACCCACACTCAGGGCGAAGGAGAGATCTGACCCCCATATACGTGGATACACATGCAAATACATGCAAATGCAAACATACATATACACACGTGCATGTAGGCACTCCCCCAACATATACAAGCACACACACACATGCATACAGGCACTACACACACACACACACACACACACACACACAATTAAAGTTTTACTTTATCCGATTATCATTCATTTTGTTAATATAACATTATACATTTTTGCTTTGAATTCACAGATACTGACAGGACATATAAACTAAAAGCTTCTGGGGCGACTTTTGTTCTTTCAAGGGTACATTTTTTATACTCTGAAAGTATCTTGCCAATATTTGCACTCACAAAAATTCACCAAATTCAACTCAGCTCAGCAAGCCTTCACATCTGTGTGTCAAGCTGGGGTTCAGAATGGCCATGAACCCACTCCTCTCCTACAGACCCCCATGGCCTGCCTCCCAGGGCTGTGTCTCAACCTCCCCAGCCATCCCTTGGCTGCTTGCTGTGTGTGTACTGAAGCAGACTTGAGGGAAGGTGTGAACAGGCCCGGTCTCTCACCTCGGCTCTTACTATTCTGTCCACGATGGTCTCCAGTGTTTCCAGCTTATTGCACTTCACCACACCCTCAAAGTACTGCGAGCGGTGCTGCAGGGCCTGGGTCACCGTGATGTCTAGGTTATTATAAGTTTTCTCAGCAGCAAGGTTCTGCAACAGAGTCACAGGAAAAAAATTACGTCCTTCACTTCCATTCGGATGAAGGAGCAACCTGATTTCTGAAAACAGTTAACATGGAATTTGGTCTTATGAGATGTCTTTCCAGCTAGTATCACGCCATCAGCATGGCTGTCTCAGTCGTAACTGAGGATAACACATTACTAGGTGTACCTTGATTACGGAGACATGCAAATTTGTCGTGCTGGTAGTATGGGGGACTGAACCCAGGACCTCATGCAAACTAAGCAAGTGCTCCACCACTGAGCTACTGCCCGAGCCACGTTTTTTTTTTTTTTTTAAATTTTAAGCCAGGTCTCCCTAAGTTACTCAGGCTGGTCCTGAACTTAGTCTGAAATCCAGTTAGGTCTTAAACTTTCAATCCTCCTGCCTCAGGCTCTTGAGTAGCTGGGACTACTCTGGCTTGTGTCACTAGACTTAGCAGACAGATGTTGTTTTATACATTTAAAAAGATTTTACTTTATATTTGTGTGCATGTACACATAGGGGTGTGTGTGTGTGTGTGTGTGTGTGTGTGTGTGTGTTGTGCTTATGGAGGCCAGAAGAGGGCATCAGATCCCTTGAAACTGGAATCACAAGTATTTGTGAGCCCTCTGACATCAGGAACACCATGTACTCTTACTACTAAGCCAACTCTACAGCTCACATGTTAAATTTTGAGCGTTTTTTGCCAGGCTCCTCCCCACTTTGTCCACTAGGGTTCTACACCACACATGAGCAAAGTCTCCTGTGAAAAGGGTAAGATGCCTGGGGTGGGGGCCCACCCACATCAGTGCTTCCCAGTGAGTTCTCAGAGCTCATCGACTCTATTAGAAAGGTGTGGGGGCCAGGCAAGATCAAGAAGAGACCCAAGAAGCCCAGAAAGCCATGGGGTCTCCCACAACTCCCATGGATTTTAGTGGGTCCATTCATCCAAGGTTCTAATGAAAGGATTTTTGGTATCTACTATGTTAAACAGAATAGGGTGAATCGAAAGATTTGAGACAGCTGCAAAGCTGTCATTAATGGCAGGGTCAACACTGTGGCAACATATGCTGTTTGCATTTCACTATCAAATCTGTTTCCCCTTCTTAGACACAGTGTAAAACTCAGAAATTACACTAAATATGAGTGGGAGAGAAAAATTTAAAGGTATGATACAGCACCAGTGAGAAACCTCACGGCTGCCAATCAAGGATTTGAGTCAAGAGCCCCAGGAGACTAGGATAGTTCTCTCAGCCTATTGGCTTCTTCTTAGACCAGTGTCTCCCAACTGAGCAGGAGCATGCGTTAACACGGGCCCCAGCTCATGTGTTCACTGAGCACACCCCACAGGCAGAGCGACCCCATAAAGAAACGTGACCACTGAAGGTGTGAGCTCCGTGGGCTGTAGCGATGGATGCGATGTGTTTCTAAGAAGAAGCCGGAGATAATAAAAATCAGCACATACTCATACAGTTCATTGGTAGATCAGTGAGTATTAGAAATATCATCACTGTGAGACTGAAATTCTTGGAGACTGAAATTCTCCAAGACTCTCACTCAAGAGGTCAGAAATTGTTACATCAGGGAATAAATGACTCAGTCTAATTTTGATTTTCATTTGTTTGACAATGCATTCTGAATGACAGGGTTAAAAACATGAAAAGATACTTACAATTACATCAAACTTGGAATAAATATCTACAACTTTTCCTAAAAATGAAAACATATGTTAGAAAAACATTTCAGGAACAAAACAGCAACTCATTAAAAAATCAGTCTTAACTGGGTAACTACTATGGATTAAACAGTGTTGAATAAAACAAATGGGCCTATTTAAAAATGGACATAAAATGGTATCTTAATGGAGACAGGAAACTAAGTCCACTGTAAATTCTTATTCTCCTGATTGCTGACTGTGGGAACTGCATCCCAGCATTTGTTTCTTGGTCGTCTGCTCTCTTCCCACTCCTTCCGGTCCAGGAGAGGGTACTAAGGCCTCACAGACCTGACTCATCCACCACAGGTAGTGCTGATATCCGTCTCTCCACAAAGATGTTCAAGGCTTTGATGATAGGAGTGTCTGGGTGAATGAAGGCAATATTGTGGTACGTTCCTATTCCAAGTTCATCCAGGTTCTGCTTCATGAAGGCAGGCTTTGGCATATCAGACATCTGAGCAAGGAGAGACATGAGAATGTTCTAGAACCCTAGCATACCCTTTCAGTGCTCAAACATCCAGATCTGAATGAAAAACTATGTTCAACAAATGAAAGGCACTCTCTCCTAACAGTCTGCTTGGTGTCTTGTCAGCAGAGCTAACACGTCAGAACTGCCTCTCCCACACCAGCTAACAGCTCTACATGTATCCTTCTATAGAAAATGATTCCAAGAATTCATGTTTGCCCTTTTCTTCACTCCAAAACAGTGGGTAGAAGATGGGATCGAAAGGTGTGTCCAGGGAATGAAGGCCTGAAAGCCAGCAAGGCTTGTACCCTTTATTCTTAGTGATGTACACTCAGCCCTGGGACCTGAAGTGACCCTAGGGCTGAATGGTTGAGACTAAGCTGCTGCTCGGTCCACCCCACCTCCACAGCTGGTACTCTCCCCAGATGAATCCAGTTTCAACGATTAAAAACAAAGAATAAACTAGCTGTACAGAGCGAGAAGAACCTTAAAAATGAACTTTCCCCTTCTGACTGTTTCAGAGGAGGAGGGATAAGTTGGAAGAAAGTCTAGGATCAGGCTGAACTACAACAAAGTAAGGTCTACGGTTTCAAAGATCCACCTTTTATAAAGGGCGTAGTTGACGCCATCCTCCTGGTGTACCTTAGAATTATCAGGAAAAGATGAACAGTTAGAAGAAACAAAATGTTCAAGTCAAAGAGTTCATCAATATTCAAATCATGAGATTCCTAGAAATTTAGAGAAAAAAAGAGAGAGAAAGACCTATTAGGTCATCTAATCCATCTCAACACAGGATATTCCCGCTTCAGACTGCCTGCTTCTCAAATGCCTGCAAGGTTATCACTATCCTTTCTCCGAATGATCCTGATAATGAAGTAAAAACCAGGCTATGGTGCTTCTTTATTTAAAATATGTGTTTTTATCTGAGAACCTATGGCTGAATATTTGGCTGCAAGGTTCTAGCTGCCATATTGGTTCAAATATAAAGCAACCCCTTTCCTCTCCACAGATGAGGTGAGTGGCAATATGAACAGCATTACCACCACCAACTGGGCAGGGATAAGGATGCCTCGTGCAAAGCTCTCAGGATGTGCCTGCCAGTGGTCAACTGTCACAGACGGGCTCTAGGGGGCTGAGCTGCCAAGCCTGGCAAATGTGGGTCCAGAGCACCTGCCTCTCCACCCAAGCCCTTGGTTCCTGTGATGTCTCAACACGCGAGGCTGCCACACTCCACTGTAACCGACTGATGGACAAAAACTGCTCTTTCTTCCTAGGTTGCCTACTAAATGTCATGGGCTTTTTGGCAAATTATTCCTCTCCTGATTTCTTAGCGTTTATTTAATCAGGAAATGCAACTTGTCTCTGTATGCCTACTATGCCTATTAAACTATGTGACCAGCTGGATCACCAATGCATGTCTCTAAACCCTTGACACCTCGGTGAGCCCCTGGCCTTGCAAGGCTGCATCCAGAAGAGCAACTTGGGCCGGACTTCGGACTTGCATGCCTAGTGGGAAGCTGCAGACAGGAAGCAGCTTTGAAGTGTGTCTTATTTCCGTTAGAAAAAAAACTTCAAGTGACCTTTCTGAACCATCAACACTTCCACTGTTCTTCCTGACTGATGACTTCAACCCCAGGTTCAGCACAGGTGATGGGGGCGGGGCATGAAAGCCTCCTGGCACATGCTGCTCCCACGGAGCCTCCTCTAATACTCCCCGTCTCGGAGGTTTGAACACAAACCACAAAAGTGCACTATGGTGCATCTCTTGCCTACATCTGACTTGCCTTGGGATTCTCTGATGCTGCTGCAGGTGAGAATGAGATCACCCCCGGGACAGTGTTTTTTTTTTTTGCTCCTGTTTCTAAAACCATGACCTCAACAAAGGCACCACGAAGCAACTTCTGCCCTAAACCCTGGCTCCATCCATCTGGTGCAGTAGACCTCAACGAGACTGAGAAAATGCTTTAGCTGCCTGTGCACAAGAGATGCCCATCCTCAGGGGGCACTTCCCAGTTTTAGTACTTTCATACTTGGTCTAAAATATTACAGCATTTGAGCTGGCGTCAACTTGGAGAACACACAGTGCACACAGTAGTGAGTTGAGAAACTGAAATGCCGCAAAATGGAGACCTGAGAACTACCGGTTTCTTCTACCAAGAGCAACAGGAGCCCATTTACTTGACGTAAGTGACAGGCAATGCAACTGCATCTTTAGGGACTACTTACAAAAAGCTGGAGGAACTTGAGGATTCTTTTGTGGGTAAGTATATAAAGTGCATTCCCACTGATAGGGTCAATAACTGGCAATCTGTGGATTTTATTTTTGATCAACGAGTATACAGCATCGAAGAGGCTGCGGGAAAAGCCATTAGAGTCATTAGGAGGCTTTCAAGAAAGATCAGAAAGACTTTGGACCACCCCTGCTTTACAGTATTTTCACTGCCTTTATACCACCATAAGAAGAGGGTCATCAGCTTAAAACAGTCACTGCAAAGCTTTACATGGGGGCTCTCCGCCCATCTGTTGATGCATCTCAAACTCAAGAGGGAAACATGGATCTCCAGCAAGGCAGGTTGTTAGTAGTGTGTCCAGGGATTTTGTTTGAAAGAGGCAAACCTTAAGCCTTCTGGAAAGCCAGCAGTGACCTCGGCACTGAGGTTGGGTTGCCAGACTCCCAGGGTGTCTGCCTGCCCTGCCAGCCCACCTTGGGGAACTGCCCTGTGTCCTCCTTGCCCCCACCACTGTCTCCAAGAAGCCTGTGGAGTGTACTTCCCCCCACGACCTGGAAAGAAGGGGACAAACCAAGTGTCTTCTCTCTCTGCAGCTCTTGGGCTTTAAAAATGTCTCCTACTCTGTCCATCTCGTGCTGAGAGCCAGAGAGAGCTGAGCACCTGCTCTACCAGGCTGTGTCAGTCCTGATTCGCCCTTCCTGCTCCTTCTAGGATGGCTCTGGTCTGGATTGACATCACTCTGGGAATGTTTCACTGCTGCTCCCAGGATCCAGTCCCCTGGACCAAATGCTGGGGTCAGGAGTGAAGCCCTGAGATCGGTAACTGTAAGAGGATCCCTCTACGGATGCTGCCGCAGGAAAGCTGGATGTCTGAAACTGGCCTGGATGATCAGCCTCACAGCCCATTCCCAACCACTTGGATCCCACCCTCTCACTCTCCTTCCTCTCTTAGGTCTTGCTAAACTGTCCAGGATAGCCCTGTGCTTGCTATGTATACAGCCCAGGTTGGCCTCAAACATGCAGTCTTCCTATGCCAGTTTCCCCTGTGTGCTAGATCCCACCATGCCTGGCTTTGCTGTGATTTCCAACATCTCTCAACTTCTGGCACGCTACTTGGATTAAGGAGGTTGGTCCTACCTAGACTGAGGGACTTGTCTGTCTACTTCTAGTTACCTATCATGGCAATGAGACACCTAAACTGCAGAGAATGTTTCACGGGGGAGAAGAAGCTTCCATGCTTACCTTGCATCTGGAGAGATATTCACCAAAGGCTTGAAGGTTTCTTGTAAGTATAACTCTGCATTTGTAGAAGGAAAACATAGTTAGTTTTAGATCTGCTGTGTGCAATGCTACTTCACATTAAAATATCCTCCAGTTTACAGGAAATAACTAGACGAACTAGAAACCCAAATAAAAGATAATTTACCCTAAACTAAGGGTACAGTCATGGTTATTTTAAGTCATGTTTTCAGGACGTGTTTGAAGAAAAATCAAATATAGGAAAAGGCTCCAGTGTCTCCAAAGATGCTGCTAACATCAGGAAACACTCTGATGTGGACAAATGATAGCAGAGGACACTGGGTCCTGTCAAGTCCACATTACTCTCAAGAAATGAAACCTTTACAGAATCCTTTGGAGCAATTTTCATAAACGTGGAGAGAGCATCACTTTAAGCAATGTTGTTCTTCAAATGATCTCATTTTATTTCACTGATGCTCAAAACCCAGGGCATGTTGGGAATCTTGCCAGCATATGCACATTTTCTTTGTAAAGAAATCAACCGTAATTAATTGGTTTTGCTGAGGTCTGCACACAGAAGGCATCTGAGACCGTCCTGATATTTTCACACCTTCAAACATCCCCGTAGGCGCAAGTGTAAATACACCTAAACCATGCTCAACGGAATGCATACAGCAGGATTTGATGAGAAGTGCTTGTCTTGGTGTTGTTAATCATGTCGTTGACAGGCCATCTGGATGCCATGCTGACTTAATTCATTTAGTCTGCCTTGATAAAGCCATGCTCAATAAAACACATCCTTGGCAAGATTTAAAAATCACGGGAAATTAAAAGGGGACGCAGAGGTCTGGAGAACTCAAGTGGAGGGTATGATTTCTCAGATACCTTTGAAGGCTGGTCATCCTGTCAAGCACATGATGGGAACAGTAAAACAGACTTCTAATACCTAGCTAAAAAATGCCCTGTAGTAGGTCCCTCCCCTTCTACCCAGGCTTCTCCTTGAGCGCTTACTTATGCTCTGACCAGTCTGGGTCCTCTGCCCTGCCCACCATGAGTCTTTGAGATGACAACCTTCCCATCATGGAACAAGAGTTTAAAAAGTGGTCCCATTGTAGGCAAAAATAACCTGACTGTAAAGGGTGAATTTTGGTGAGGCAAACAGAGTTCTTTTGTATGTATGAGTGTATGTATCTGTGTGCATGTGCATGCATGCTTCTGTGTGGGGGCCAGAGAACACCTCAGAAGCTCTCCATCATGTTTTTTGAGACAGAGTCGCTCACTGGCTCTGGTCCTGCTGATTCAATCAGGCTGGCTGACCACTGAGCCCCCAGAGTCACCTGTCACTGTCTCCAGGGCTGGTAAGTGCACACTCCCGTGCTTGGCTCTTTGACATGGATTCTGGGGACTGAGCTCAGGCTCCCACAGCCAGCCTTTTCCTCCCATACTATCTCTCTAGCCCACGAGTTCCTGAAATGATTTCCCTGTTAGTCCATCTGAACCGTTCGGTTAAATTGTTCTTGTCCTGGTTTTGCTGAATTGGTAAAAGCGTAATTCAGCTTATCAGAGCGGAAGCTTGCTCTGTCCCATATTGGGCCATGGTGAGCAGACATCTGAGGGTGCTACTCAGTGGTCAGACCACACATCTGTACAGCTCCAGACCTAGTGTAAGGCCACACACGTGTGACAATGTGCGCAGTTAGTAGGGAAACCAGAGTGTTTTAACTAGCAGGTTGTAATGAAGTGCAGGCAATGATCTGGCACACTCAAACACGCTTTTCAGGTAACATTTTCTCCAGATACTCAAGAGTTTAAGAGCTGGTGGTGCTTACCCCTCCACGTTTCAATCTTATGTTCCTCTAATTCATAAATTTGTACCTGCAAATAAGAAAGACCGTGTCTACAAGTGTCAGCATCCACAACAGCAAGCAGAACACTCTGCTTCTCTGTTTCTAATCAGAACACTGGGGGACACAAGGAGAAGGTAGCTTCGAGTACCAAAAAAGAGCTTAGGCCCGCTCATGTACTTATATTTCACTGACTGTTCTTCCCCAGTTTTTGTATTTAATAAACAACCATAGAGATTTGCTATATGGCATCTGCTGTTCTTCATCACATATTTAACACAGAATAGTTAAAGTCTGATAAAACTTCATTTTTCTTTAAGTGGGATATTTAATTAAAATTTTTTTATTAAGCAGATAAAAATAACAGGTTTCATGGTGGCATTTTTGCTTGTGTTGGGATGTATCTCTCTACATCATTCTTATTCATCCTGCGGCTCCTCTTCTCCGCCACTGTCCCCTTCCTTCCCACAAGCAGCCCTTCCTCCTGTTTTTATGCCAAACGTAATTCTTCATCCTCTCTTCTCCCCATCCCTACCCACTACGGTCCCTCCGCCCTTCTCACAGGCCAGTTTCTACCTTCGGGCCCTACACGTAAAGATCGTCCTTCTAGAGTTTTCCTCGTGAAGAAACTCATTTTTGTATTTTATGTGGGAATTGCAGCCATGTGTCACGCAGTGACAGCTTGATAAAACGATGGACCACAGACTTGACTTTCAGAACCCACAAATGTTGTGATCATCTCAGTCTGAGTAAAAACATTTGGCTGTTTTCACACAATGGGGTCAACTGATGACATACTTCTCAGAGCATGTTCCCTTGTTAAATAATGCATATTAGTGGACAACTGAGCGCCACCTTAGAAACACACTAACTAAAAGGTATCTCCTGCCTTTTAGATACCCTAACAATAGAAGAACTAGTTAAATCAATCATACAACTGTCCTCCCACCGCAGCAAACCAAACCAAACCAGACCAAGTGGTGTCTGATACAGGGCAGACTGGGTTTCCATTGACACTGCCTTGCCAGGACATGTGGGCGAGGTGCCGGGGCCTCTGTCACCAACGGCATCCAGAACAGTCTTTCCCAACTTGGCAGGAAAGAGCCCGAACTGAGTTGCTTCAGTTTTGATTTGTACTTCTGTCTAGTTTCCTTACAGTGGCTATAACCATGAAGGAGGGCTGGGGGTAGGTAGCACAGTGGCGGAGCATTGCCCAGCAAGCTCAAAGCCCTGGGTTTCCCCCCAAAACTGAAATGAGTAAGAAAAATAAATCCCGGATGGGAGATGAGCGATTCTCAAACTCCACTCAGAGCAAGAGGCCTGCAAAAAGAGGCCTGCAAAAAGAGGCTTGCAAAAAGAGGCCTGCAAAAAGAGGCCTGCAAAAAGAGGCTTGCAAAAAGAGAGCTGTGGCCACGTTATCTCCAGGGTGAGGCCGTAGGTCAACCACTAAGAGGAAGTGGGGGAGACACCGCCCTTCCTGGTCCTAGCAGATGCCGGTACTGCAGACACAAGGGGCTAGTCATCAAGCAGCAGAAACTTACACATGCCAGGGCAATAAATCAGAATGGGTACTTCTGTAAGCTGGAGAAAGCAGTTATTACTCTTTTTTCCTGGTGCCTCCTTCAAATGTCAATTAAATGCTATGAGGCTAAGCTCACTGTTTACTTGGGTTGGAAGTCTTATACTTAAGTTCCTTACCTATTATACATACTGGGAAAATCCTCTCCCATCCTAACCACACACACAGTGAGGTCTATGACACTTACCATAGGTGATTTATAGTATCTGTGTAGTATATTTATGAAGTCTGTAATAGTGAGCATCCCTGGAACAAAGAACCACAGGTTAAAACGAAACTAAGGGACCGGAGAGACGGCTCAGTGGTTAGAGCATTTGCCACATAAGTGTGAGGACAGGAGCCTGTGTCCTCAGAATCATCGGTCAGTGCGGTGGCCCACTTGTAATTCCAGCCTTAGAAGGTGGAGGCAGGGGATCCCAGAGCTGGCTGGTGAGACTAGGTATACTGGCAAGCTCTGGGTTTGATTGAGAGACCCCGCTTCAAAGAATAAAGTGGACAAATGATGGAGGATGATTCTTGACATCAATCTCGGGACTCTCATGCATGCCAAAAAGACACAGAGAAGGAAAGGCTTTCGTGGCAAGTGAATCTGCAATGTTTACTAGAAAGTCTTGCAAAATACAACCCAAGATCTCAGGCTCAATCTCGTGTAGAAAAGAAAGAACATGTATTTCCTACACTAACCTAGAAATGCAAACTGAAGCCTCATGGACAGAGAATGCACCAACACTCATAAAATACCACAAAGAATTGTAGCTGCATGTGAATAATTTTAAATGCTTCAGCAGAGATGCAGAAATTCCCTAAGTGCTATGATGGTGGGACTTCTGGGGCACCTGGACCGTTTCCTGAGAAGCATTCTGAATACAATGGCTTTAGCAGAGTCACCACCACTCACTGCAGGCCTACTACGTGCTGGACACTACAACTGTGAGGATGACAAAAAGGAATGTTTTCCACAAGAACAATTATAGGTGCCGGGTGGTGGTGGTGGTGGTGGTGGTGGTGGTGGTGCACGCCTTTAATCTCAGCACTCAGGACGCAGAGGCAGGTGGATCTCTGAGTTCTGGTCTACAAAGTGAATTCCAGGACAGCCAGAGCTGTTACACAGAGAAACCCCGGATTGAAAAACAGAAACAAAAAAGAACATGATAGTCCAGAGGAAGAGCAGACTGAAGTGGTTACTTTCAGAATAATGTTCTAGAGTGACAACATTGTCAGGCTGTTCTGACTGGGGTCAGATGTGACAGGGTTTACACAGTTGGGAGGCACACGCCCTTTTCCCTTTCAGTGCTACGGTCACACCCAGGGCCTTGCATAACATAAGCAGTCCGGGTAACACTGAATGACACCCCTAGCTCTTAGCTATTCCAGACAAGGTCTTGCTTAGGCTGGAACTTGTTATCCTCCTGCCTTTGCACCCCATGTGCTGGGTTTATAGGCATGTACCACCATATCCAGGGCTTACCCGGCATTACTGACAGCTTAATGATTTAGCAGACATTGGTTATATTCACATGAAGGTTGCTGTCATTTACACAGTGATGAACAGTGACTGAACAGAGCCAGCACAGACCAGAGCAAGGGCCCTCAGCTCATCTGACCACATCTGTGGTCATTTTGCTCCCTGAGCTGATAGACAAAACCTCCTTCAGAGTGTTCAGAAATTGCAAAATTAAAAGAACAACCCCCTGGAAACCCCCAAACACCTGAAAAGCAAAAAAAGACTGCAATAAGGTCAATTGTCCTAAATTCACTAGTGGTCTGGTCTGGTTCAGTATGCAGAAGCCAGAATGTTCTTCAATGTGGAAAATGCCTGTCAGGCTGAACCAACAGGGATGGAATGTGGAGCACTCTGCAGGGATAGGAGGTCCCTTCCCAGACAGCCTTCCCCAGCTCGGCCACTCACCTACAAAGCTCTGCTTTTTACTTTCCCACAGAGGCGCTGCACGGACTCCGTTGGCTACTAAGGCAAAGAAGGCCTTTTTAACCTGGAGAGAAACCAGAAACAAAACATCCTTTTAAAGTCCCCATTTCAGGAGGAAAATACTCTCAACTAAGGTTTCAACCAAATCTTACCAGTAACTATTGACGTAAGTTTGAAAGGCTACAAACAACACTTGTTAGCAAAATGGTTTTGTGTAGCTTAGCTAAGGTATTTAGATGTGTTCGGCCTTCTGACACTGTGACATGACACTGTCATCTTTGCAAAGCTCTCATCCAGAGCAGAGCTGTAGTTTTTGTTGTTTAATATTTTGGCTCTTTGGGAGGGCCTGCCACCCAGCTCCCAAATAAATCACAGAGGCTTATTCTTACTCATGAATGCCCGGTCTTAGCTTGGCTTGTTTCTAACCATCTTTTCATAACTTTAAATTATCCCATCTATCTTTTGCCTCTGGGCTTTTACCTTTCTCTATTTCTGTATATCTTTTACTTCTTATTCTGTGTCTGGCTGTGTGGCTGGCCCCTTCTTTTCTTGCTCCGTGATCCTCTCTTCCCAGATTTCTTCTCCTATTTATCCTCTCTGCCTGCCAGCCCCACCTATCCTTTCTGCTGCCTTGCTATTGGCTGTTCAGCTCTTTATCAGACCATGCAGGTGTTTTAGGCAGGCAAAGTAACACAGCTTCACAGAGTTAAACAAATGTAATATAAAAAGAAACACATTTTTGTATCATTAAACAAATATTCCACAGCATAAACAAATGTAACACATCTTAAATTAATATTCTACAACACAATGCAATCAAATCACAAAAAAAAATCACAAAACTTTCATATTTTTCTTTTGTATGTATGGATACGTGTGTATGTAGGTGTGCATGAGTGTGGGTACATGTGCAGGTCAGAAGATAACTTCATGTGTTGCTGTTGGCCCTTGCCTTTCACCTTGGTTTAGGACAGGGTGTCTTCTGTCGCTGGCTGCTGCACACACCAGGCTAGCTGACTGATGGTAGGTTTCCACAGAGCCTCCTGTCTGTACCTCCCTCCACACTATAGGAACAACAGATTTCAGACATGCACTACCAAGGCCAGCTTTTTATATGGGTCCTGGGGATTTGAACTCAGGTCCTCACACTTGTGGTAAATGGTTTGAGCACCGCACCATCTCCCTAGTCCTCGTAAGATTTTTAAGTACGTTTATGATTTTGTGTTCAGCTGCATTCAGAGCACTCGGGTTGCACGTGGCTGCAGGTTGCAGGCTGGCCACACCTGGTAAAGGGAGTGGGGATTATTTTTTTGAAACTGAAAGACAATTAACTTCAAATTTTTTTCTTTGATGTAACTAAATAGTCTTGCATACACAGATTTTCTGTAATTAAAATTATACAAAATAATTAAATAACAGCTTAATTTTTCCCACGTGTGATTGACAATTTATCTCAAACAGAGTTACACTGAATTATTTGAAATGGTATTTGGTCATTATATTAAAAATCACAACAAATACCACGTTTCCCCATCCCCCTAAAGATGAGGAAGGCATTCAGCAATAACTGCACTTTCCAGCACTAGACGGCACAGGCTCTGGGGCAGGGAAGGCGCAGGCGCTGCTCGGCGTGTTAACACACAGCACTTTGTTCGGCTCTAACACACACCCTTAGGGACACTGTAAGGTGTCATACTTGATTTATTAGGAGTCAAAAACTCAGGGCTGAAAATAATCCTCTAAACAGCATATGCAAACAAGGAAAGCATCCTATGATCATTAATAATTCAAGGAATGCAAATGAAACATTAAAACATTGTTCAGAGTTGCTGCTGTAGTGTGGACCCTAGAGTGGTTCCCAAACGCCTGCGTGGAAGGAAGTTTGGCCAGTGGGGGTGTGGCCATGAAGGACACGGGGACCCTATGCCTCTTTTTTTTTTTTTTTGAGATAGGCTCTCCCCGTACAGCCTAAGTTAGTCTGGAACTTGTGTCCATCCACCTCAGGAGCTTCTGGGTTTTAGGATTCCAGGTAGTCCGCCACTCCCGGCCCTTCTCTTTCCCTTCCGTCTCTTTGCTTCCCACCACCATGGGGTGAACAAGCCTTCTCTGCCACCTGCTCTCACCATGATGTACCAAGCTGCCATAGTCCCAACCTAACCAGGAAAAGTGACAGTGGGTGGCAACCTGGGGAACTGCCATAACCGAGCTCTTCCCTTTGAAGGTGTTTATCTGGGGTATTCTGTCTCAGTTATACAAAGATAAGCTTTTTTGTTGTTTGTTTTGTTTTTGTTTTTCAAGATGGGGTTTCTCTGCGTAGTTTTGGTGCCTGTCCTGGATCTCGCTCTGTAGACCAGGCTGGCCTCAAACTCACAGAGATCCGCCTGCCTCTGCCTCCCGAGTGCTGGGATTAAAGGCGTGCGCCACCACCGCCCAGCTCAAACATATGCTTTTACATCTTACCTAATATGAGAATTATTTTAATTTTTTACTACATTCATTTATTGTGTGTGTGTGTGTATGGGGACAGATCATGCATGCCACAGTGCACATGTGGAAGTCAGAGGACAATTGTGGCAGTCAGCTCTCTCCTACATGTGGGTCCTGAGGATTGAACTCTGGTTACTGGGCTTGGTGGTGTCTTTCCCAGTGAGAACCTTGCTGGCCCATCAGTGCTATTTTAAGTAATGCGCTCGTGCTGGACAGTTTTATGTCAACTTGACACAAGCTAAAAAAATCATCTGAGAGAAGAGAACCTCAAGAGAATGCCTCCCTAAGAATGGGCTGGAGGCAAGCCTGGAGGGAATTTTCTTAATTAGTGACTAATGTGGAGGACCCAGCCCATTGTGAGTGGTGCCATCCCTAAGCTGGTGGTCCTGGGTTCTACAGGACTGCATGTGGAGCAAGCCAGTAGGCAGCACCCTTCCATGGTCTCTGCATCAGCTCCTGCCTCCAGGTTCCTGCCCTGTGTGACTTCCTGATCTCACTGCTTTCAGTGATGAACTGTTTGTAAGAAACTGTAATAGAAATAAGCCCCTCCCTCTTCAAGTTGCTTTTGGTCATGTTTCATCATAGCTTCTATCAAGAATCACAAAACCACTCCTACCTATTTGTACTATAGCTTGTTTCTACTGGATTATATTGGGGATTTCTTGAATCAAAGATGTTCAATGTGGCACTATGTTTGACATTAAAAACTGGAAAAACCTTCACCCAGCAGAAGAAAATTATGGAAGTGGGTGCTTAATTTAAAAAAAAATTAAAAAATATTTAATTATGTATGTAAATATGTATGCAGTGTTTTGCCTGCATGTACGTATGTGCAGGGCCCACAGAGGTCAGAAGGGTGTTGGCTCTCCAGGAACTGGAATTGCAGGTGGTTGTGATCTGCCACGTGGGCACTGGGAACCGAACCTGGATCCTCTGCACGAGCAACAAGTGCACTTAACCACTGAGCCAGCTCCGTGAGCTTTAATGTCAATATTTACATATTTTGACTCCTCAAAAGCATGAAGAAATTCTAGCTTCCTCACGATGACTTTGTTGATCAATCTGCCTAAGACTCCTGCTTCAGTCCCGAGTGTCCCCAGGCCCTGAAACTAGCCACGGAAGAGGAAACGGAAGAGCCCCCGCTCAGTTTGTTTGTTTTAGAGACAGGGTTCTGTCGTCTGGGTTCATCTCAAACTTCTGATCCTCCTGCCTCAACCTGGCAAGTGCTGGGATCACAGGCGTGCACGGACCACACTGGGCTCAAGCACTGCTTTTGTGTGTGCGCACGTGTGTGAGCGTGCATGGGCGTGCCATGAATTCGAGAGAGGCTCCGTTCACGCTGCTGGGGGAGTCCCCTCCTTTTCCTTCCCTCCTATCAGAGCTGCTCTCCACAGGGCCTCCGACCTCACAGAGGGCCTGGTAATCTCTACCATCTCTCACTGTATCGGGATGTGATACGTCTGGACAGGAGTCAGACTCAGTTCTGTTCAGAGACAACGTTTCATCATCTCTAAATGATCTTCCTCTGTTACTTTTCACCCTTCCTAGCTCCTGACCATTTTCCTTGACGACGAAAGCAGCACAGGCTGAGGAGAAAGGTTCCAGCCACACCAGGGCCCTCATCTTGAGCAAGGGGCCCAGTTCTTCCTTTTCTTCTTGCCTTGAGAATCCTGAGTGTCCTATTTTCCTTGTGCATCATAATTTTCATCTCAAATTAAACTTATACTGTGTATCCCTCTTCTGGTTATATCCTATTTCCCTCCTGATGACATGTACGTACGTATGTACGTACGTACGTGTGTGTGTGTGTGTGTGTGTGTGTGTGTGTGTGTTTAGCTACCCCCCCCCCCCCCTTTTGAGATGGTCTTGCTATGTAGAGCAGGCTGGACTGAACTTGCAGCAATTCTCCTGCCTCTGTCTCCTGAGTGCTGGGACTATAGGCTTGACCACCACATTCCAGAATCTTGGCCTTTCTCTCAGCCTCTCATGGCTGGCTTGCCACTGTCTAAGAATCATCTTCTTTTGCTAGAAACCCCGTGACAGGCTTTCGTGGGTGAACGTGACACAGGCCTCACTCTTCTCAAGATGATCCCAGTCAGTCTTGTCCCCTTCTTGCTGGGGACAGGTTTCACCATGCCCCACAGCAGGAAACAGCTTACACACAGAACGAATTGTAACATCTTGCTATCGTACATCTGCAGAAACGTGGAAAGAATGTGTGAGAACAGGCCAAAGAGTAATTTAACACTCAGCCAGCGGAACGGAGCACTACAGGTGGGCTCATTTAATGCTTTGCCTGTGCAGCTAGGGGAGGGTCTGGCTGCTCAACGGGTGCCTAAGTTCAGGGCATGTTAAGGCCATACTAAGTGAGGTTGGGATGCTTTACTCCTACAGGATAATGAAGACAGGAACACTGGCTGACCCCTCAAGAGCATGTTCAGGGCCTGAGGACACTCTCTTTGAGCTGTAGAAGAACGCATGTGCCGTAACTGGGGGCAGTGCTGTACCACTATGCAGACGGCACCTGGAGCAGCCTTGCTGGTTTCCATGGGAACGGTATTCTGGGGCGGCAGAGGGCCAGTGCAGGAGTCAAGCCAAGGAAGGTTCAGGTACCTATCAAGGGCAACCAGGAAGGGGTGGGAATCCAGAACGATCTGCCTCCATAGAGATCTCTGGTGGCAGCTAACTGATTAGTGTCCCCAGGAATGAAAGTGACCCAACCTTCTCATTTTATTTTAACTACTTAACAAGAACTCTAGTGGCCAAAAGCCTGACTTGAGTCATCAGCAATGAGGATTCTGTCCTCTAGCTGTTTCCGGTCTGGGCCAGGTCCCCTATAGCACTGGGTTGTGGCCATGCCATTCTCACATACAGAGTTCCCTGCCTGGTGCCCTTCCCCTGGGACTTGCAAACAGGAACACGAGGAACTGGACATCGGTTCTGACCATAAAATGCCACTCCAGTCTTCTAGTTAGGGTGGGGGCTCTGGACATCAAGTAACAGGTGGTATGTCCGCTAGAGCTTGGGTCACCAAAAGTACAGTCGGGCTACAGGCTCAGGCTGTGGCGGTCTCCTCTCTTCCTAAGTGTGTGATCCTAACATCATGCAGAAAGCTCTCCAGAGGCTTGTTGACTTCAGTCAAATAGGAAGCTTCTGGAATTTCTGGCTACTGGATTAGCAAATCACACGAGGAGGGCATCCGTGGGGACGTGCAAAGGTTGATGTTGCTTTGGAAGGATACTACCTGCCACCACAGGACTCTGAGTGGGTCTTCTGGAGGCTGCAGGTAGACATTTAAGTGTGCTACTAGACACTTGCACTGAGGGGCTCCAAAAGCAATTTTCACTGGAATTTCAGCCTGTGAAGCAAGTCCAGCTGCTCTTCTGCTGTGCCTATGACACAGCAAGGTCAATGCTTAGAAAGTTGCACAATGCTTCCATCAATAAGAAATCCACACACACACACACAAAAATCCACACCAGAAAAACATCCTGACGCAGCCATGCCTTCCTCTAAGATAATTCTTTCCATTTGGAAAATCATTCCTGACTCATTGCTGGACCCTGACAGAGACTCCACAACTAACCATGGGGTACCAAAAGACCATGCAGCTCGACCTCAGCAGTCCCCAGCCCCCGAGCTAGCAGCTGGTGTGCACAGTGGCACTAATCTACACTGTTAGGTGGAGACAGTGCTTGCCTTCCCTGAGGTGACCCCAGTGCCTGCAGCGTCTTCCTCTGCCAGGAGCTCGGCAGGTGGAGACGGCTGGCCTGTGGATATGCTTCACGGTGGCCATGGGCAGCACGATGGACCACTCTAGGGTGTGACGTGATGATACCCCTTAGTGTGCACTATCCCACACTATATTTGATTTCCGCTTCCTCAGGCCTGAGAGATGGAAAGGGGAGACTTGGAGCCTTCAGTTCATGACAGTATTAAACTTAGGGGGCTTTGTAGGTGGTTGAGTGGGTCTTGAGAGACCCAAGCTGGAAAACCTTAAGCAGGAATGTCTTCCTCCTTTGTTTCAGGGTGACACAGCACCCCACTTCCACTCTGGTCTGTCAGGGCTATCCCCTGGCCTTGGAGCATCTCCCTTCTAGTCTCCTTGGACATGGCTGACTTTGGTTTACCAGATCCATCAGTCTCTGAGTACTGTGGCTATTATACATGCTGTTCTCTATCTCCCTTTTGAACACAGAACAAAACATAATTTTTCAACAAACTTTTTCCTTCCTCCTTTCTCCTCTGTTGTGGAATAATCTTTTTGTACACTGTGAAGAATGTGTCACTCTGATTGGTTTAATAAAAAGCTGAACAGCCAATAGCTAGGCAGGATTTCTGGGCAGAGAGGATGCTGGGAAGAAGGCGGTGAAGACATCAGGAGACTCAGAGCAAGCAGGATGGGCAGTATCAAGATGAGGCAATGAAGCCATGAGGCAGAAAGTAAATTAATAGAAATGGGTTAAGTTGTAAGAGCTAGTTAGAAACAAGCCTAAGCTAAGGCCAAGCTTTCATAATTAATGTAAGGCTCTGTGTTGTTTTTTGTGAGCTAGCGGCCCAAAGAAAAGCCTGACTACACTCCTTTCAAGTAGCCCAGGCTAGCCTCTAACTTACCATGTAGCTGAGGATGACCTTGAACTCTTGATCCCCCTGCCTTTATCCCTCAAATGCTGGGATTACAGGCATGTACTACTATGCCTCACTCTTTCTTTCTTCTTAATGGCCACATTACAGTCTTCTGATGTGCATTTTAGAAGTCGTTCACTCAACAGACCTCTGGGAACGGGCATTCAGGTTGTCTTGACGCTCTGACCCTCTCCTGTTCTCTTAGCTCTCCGGGTATGTCAAGGACCACTGCTGTATTTAGTCTTCATCAAGAACCTCACGCACACCTTTCCCTTTGCTCTAACCACCACCACCACCATGCTCTGTCTCCTTGTTCATAAATTCCAGCTCCCTCCAAGCTCGGAGACTCACAGGGTGAATGACTTCTGGGACGGGATATACACATGGCTTTGGTTAACTGCAGAAATGATATTTACTGGATTACTGACCTTGGGCATCCAGAAAGCATTACATTTTTCACATATGACTCATCCTGGCTAAATTCTTAATTCCAAAGAGTGTCAACCCCAGGGCACAAAAACATCTAGGTAAACAGCAGATTGGTGCTGTGGCTGCTTACATAAGAGTGAAGGGACCAGAGCTGTTGCTTCTGAAAGAGAGCGTCAGGGAAGCAGGGATGAGGGTGTACTGGCTGGGCCAGCAGTTTGTTTGGAGACTCAGAAGGTCTCCTCCTCCTCCTCCTCCTCCTCCTCCTCCTCCTCTTCTTCTCCTCCTCCTCCTCCTCCTTTTTTTTTTTTTTTTTGAGACAGGGTTTCTCTGTGTAGTCCTGGCTGTCCTGGAACTTGCTCTGTAGCCCAGGCTGGCCTTGAGTTCACAGAGATCTGCCTGCCTCTGCCTCCTGAGTGCTGGGATTAAAGGCGTGTGCCACCACTGCCGCCCTGCAGAATGTCTAGTTATTTAAATACTGAAACTTGTAGCTGTAGAGACGTTTCTTAGAATGACTTTAAGACCCACCTTCCCTACTGTGATCATGTGTTTGCTTCTGTTCAATGACTATGAATCAGAGAATCTTAGGGGCTTAAAAGGAAATCTGAAGGTTACCCGGTTCAATGAGAATCTGCCAGCTCACAGGTCTTAAAGCCCACTTACAAAACCAATTGTATTTCCATAAATTTACAAAAAAAAAAAAAAGTTAAAAATGCAACTAAGCAAAAACAAAAACCATTTCTGTCTTCCTGCTGGTCCCGTGTGTGTGTGTGTGTGTGTGTGTGTGTGTGTGTGTGTGTGTGTGTGTGTGTGGTGGGGTGGGGTGGAGGTGGGCGGGGGGCAGAAGGCAGGAGGAATGACTCCCAGGAGGAACAACTCCCGGGTTCAGGGGTTTCCTCTACAGTGTAACGTGTGGGAACAAAGAGTGGTGGGAGGCGAGAGGCAGCCGGGCAAAGCTGGAGGAACCTGGGAGGTCTCTCCCAGGTCAGCTCTGGATGCAGAATACAAGAGGCTGGGATCAGCTCTTCTGGGAGCTCAAGGATCCATCGGGTCTCGGGCTGAGGCTGCCCCCAACAGGCCGTTGTTGAAATCACATGCTTGCTGGCTTCTGGGGTCCTCTTTTGCCATATCTTTGGGGTTTTTCCTGGGAGCACATCTGTCACAAGCAACTTGCTCACAAGTTCTTGGCTCAGTATCTACTTCTTAGAAAACAAGTGAAGACAATCTTCCTTGATGTGATGTGTCTGTGTGCATGCACATGTGTGCATGTATGTACTATACATATATACATCTTATATACTGGATGTAACTTGATTATTACACTGAACGTATACATATAGAACATATTTATAACATATAAATTAGAACTTTCACATGTAATTATAAGCCATATTGATAAAAAAATAAGCTCCAATAAATACAATTTTAATAGCAAAATACTCAGGTTCAAATTTCCTGCTGGGATAGACCAATAAAGTTTCCTTTCAAGAAATTATCCACCTCGACATCTTTTCTAATATTAATTATAAGTTTACTTAATAACCAAGAAAGACAATATAGGGCGCCAGTAGGGAAGGGGAGGTTGGTACACATAGGCTTAGGTGCCAACCCACAGCTGACAGGCCTGGGTTCAAATTCTGCACCTCACCACACTAGCTGGGGGATAAAAAGTCCGTGGATTAAACTTCGATTTCTGTTAAGCTGGAATTCAATTTCTGTATCAGTACAATGAGTTTAGCAATAGCATGTTCCTTATGAGGTTACGATGGGGATACAGACAAAACCTCAGCCCAAGGTTTGATTCATGGAAAGACTCAGCAAAGACCTGCTGCCGTGGCTGGATTGAATCCATGCAAGCAGCTGCCCCAATAAGCAAGCCATCAGAAGATCATGGAAGCCAGATATACTCACTTGCAACGTAGTGTCGAAGACAACAAGCTTTGAACTGGTTGGAACGATGTCATAACACTTATGTGACCTCATGAATCGCATATAAACGCCACTTTCTGAGTCTTCTGCTAAAAAGAAAAAGCAATGGGTTAGTTATAATAAACAAATCCCCTTTCAGTCAACAGAGAATGTGTATGCGGGAGACCCACTGCTAATACTTGATGAGAAGAGGGTATCCACTCTTGCTAATTCTATTCAGGAGAATTCTGGAAGTTCTAGTCGGCACAATAGGACAAGATGGGGGGAAAGTCTACAGACTGAAAAGAAATCCCTCAAGCTATTTGCACATGATATGATTTTCTACTTAGGAAAAAGTAAAGAACCTGGTTGGAAAAGTCCCATATCTAAAAGAAACTAGTGTGGGCGGTGGTGGCACACGCCTTTAATCCCAGCACTCGGGAGGCAGAGCCAGGCGGATCTGTGTGGGTTCGAGGCCAGCCTGGGCTACCAAGTAAGTTCCAGGAAAGGCACAAAGCTACACAGAGAAACCGTGTCTCAAAAAAAACCAAAAAAAAAAAAAAAAAAAAAAAAAAAAAAAAAAAAAAAAGAAAAAGAAAAGAAACTAGTGTAGCAAAGCCACAACGAAAGCACCATTCCCAGGTCTTCACCTGCTCAGGTGAGCTAGCTGAATGTAAGCCATCTTGCAAGCCAGCCATCGAGCTCCTGCTCCATGGTTCCAGCTGGGCTTCTTTGGGGTGTGGAGTGGGTTTCCTGGACAGAGTGAATGTCTGGAATGGCAAGCAGGCTTGCCTTCAGGCTCTGGGCAGTTAAGAACACTTGTTGCTCTTGCAGAGGACCTGGGTTTGGTTCTTGGCACCCAAATGGTGGCTCACAAGCGTTTTTAACTCCAGTTCCAGGAGATCCGACACTCTCCTTGGCCTCCGCAGGCACTGCACCCATGTAGTGTATATACATATGTGCAGGTAAAACGCTCAGACACACAAAATAAAGCCATCTAATGAAATCATCCCGCAAAGCAGCACATCTCCTATGCAGTTCCTAATACTCTGATTGGGCTGGTTCCCACGCCCCCTTTCCCATCACTACCCCTCATTGCCTCTGGTGAGCAGGCAGGGCCCAGTGTGGCTGTAGAGACACATGACAAGGAGAGGTCTCATCCTCTCTCCTCAAAGCTAATGTGGTCACCCATAAGACCACACAGTGGGTGCTCTACCCCTACCTTGCCTCTGAGTCGGGCAGACAGGAAGTCTCAATGGCTTCTTCCTCTGAAAGCACTGGTCTGTTTTTCTCATCAAACTTTCACTTTCTATCTTGTTAACACTGTACATTCTAAACTCCATTTTCCCTCCTGGGCAATTTCTTGGAGTGATCAGACTCTTACTCAAGTAATTAATTAGTTAACTCAGTTTACAAACACCTACTGCATATGGCTTAGCGTAGGTTCTTCCCAAAGCTGACTCTAAGACCTAGGGGTAAGTGAGACAGGGAAGGAGAGAAGAAAAACCCTCAAAATAAGGCTGCACCTATCAGCAGGTTACAGTTCGACACAACTGGAGGCAAAGATGTGAGGGAGGAGGCTGGAGAGGCTGAGTACAGATCTGACTTCCTGCAGGAGACAGCACCCCTGCCTTAGGGGTCAAGGGTTATTCCTGGGGCATTACCTGTAGTTTTTTTCTGCCCTGAAGCATGACTACCAGATGCCTGTGGGCAGAGGTGGCGAAACAGGACAGCAAGGGTTAGAGAACTAGGAGAGCAGGGGCTAGCCCCCCCCCCATCTGTCCCCCACAGCTCCCAGTGTTCCAGGGGCTGAGGCTGTGGCACTCCTCATGGAACAATAGAGTGACTGTGCCTGCTGTCCTCACACTGTCAAAGACACCACCAAGGGCAAGGTGTGGGCTTATGAGGGCTCAGAACTGGTGACAGCTGAGTGCATGGATAAGAGAGTCAGGCTGCTGCTATCTTTTCTTGAAATATTTATCTCCCACAAACCTGGGGTCCCTCCCAGGAAGAACAGCAACACTGTAGTGCTAGGAATAGAAGCCAGGAAGGTTCTGTGCAGGGGGCGGTGCGAGGGGACCAAGAGGCAGCATTGGAACTCATGGAACATGGCTGGGTGGTTGGCAAAGCCATGCCTGAGTGAGCACTGGAGAGGCAAAGCCCCGGATGTGTCCTGAGGACCCCATGCTGTTACCGAGCATAGCTCTGACTGTTGCCTTCATGGTCACCGCATCCCTCATCATCTGTGGATTGTGTGAAAACTCTCAGGGGGTTTCTAGTCCCTCACCTGGCAGTGTTACTGGTACTTATAAACAGTGACTGTCTTTTTCCAAGCATTGCTGCTGGAGCAGATTAATTAATTCAACCACCACCCTTAGAAAGAATTTAGACATCTAGAATTGTTAGTTAAGGTTAAGATATTTTTGTTAATGGCTTTGAGGTAGAAAATCTTGGGGAACAATTTAAAGTTTAGAAAGGCACACTTTTAATGGTTGGGTGAGGGACTTGTTGAGATCAAGAAGTAAGAACAAAGACAGCCCAGTTATTAGTAGGTGACGTGCTTTTCTTGCTATAGATGGGTTGGTGATCAAAAGTGATGATTAATTCCTTATACCCATTTCTGCCCTCGGCTTCCTGATATAAAAAATGGTTGATGAGTGGGTATGCACCCTGAGGATTTAAAGTTGAGTTGACTGATTGTTTTTCATATATAAAAGTTTAGATCTGTGACTCTTTTAAGATTTTTTTTATAAGATTACCTTTTGCAATAAATAATAAAGTAATTGATCCTTTCTTTGTAACCGCAAAATGCAGCCTTCCAGTAAAGAACTGGCTGAAAAAATATTTTGCTTGCTTACACTCTGTTAATCTATAACAAGTTCCTTGGACATGAATGTTTGTGGGTTCTTGGGAATAATCTGTTTTCATCTATAATACAAAAAATGTTAATCATGTAAGGGATATGGAAAACATTGTTTTGTTTTTACTTGTATTCATTGTAATCATTCACTTAAAAAATAGATTATAACCACATTGTAATTTTTATATTGTTTGAAAGATTTTGCTGGGGTACATAAGCTGTAAGGAAAAAAATTAAGAACACACAGAAGAGATACACCTGGATAGAGGTAAGAAAAGATATATAGAGAAGAAAGATGATAGAGACCCTGAAAGCGCGCGCGCGCGTGTGTGTGTGTGTGTGTGTGTGTGTGTGTGTGTGTGTGTGTGTGTGTGTGTTTCCTTTTTCGAAGGCCTCAGAGAGGTAAGTTTTGCCCCACTTGCCAGCCCCAGAGAGGTAAGTTTTATACCCTTAGATAGAAAAGTCAAACTGAGTGATTAGTCCGCCGACTCCGTGGCTCCCCCTCGATTCCTGAGCTGCTGAAGGCTGGTCCTCACAGCAGCAGTTCTGATCCATTTCAGCCATCCCGTCACTGTTAGTACCCGGTTTCTTCATAGCCTGTTCTGTGGGCGAGCAGTTTGGTCTAGTACACTTACTCAGCACCCAAGTTACCAGCTGCTTGCTAAATATCTACACTTTCAGAATTCAGATGAATGAAATTGAGACAGACACTAGCAACAATAAAATATAACCTCAAAGGACACTTTACAGGACATTGTGTTCATTAGTTAAATCAAGACTTTTGGGTTAGAGTGTAGACGGGCAGTAGAATGTTTGCTTCTCAGGCACAGGCCCTGAGTTAGACCACCAGCATCCCCACCAAAGCCAAGGGGAAAAGCCAGGCTTTTCAGAAGAACTGTGCATGCTGTACATGCCTATAACTCTCTGAATATCTAGAATAAAAACATGAAAAAACTATGTAGTAGGATTGCTCAAACTTAAATTTTTTAAAATCTGTGAATTTTGTGTTGAATTTTGTGTTAGACATGTTTTGAGCATAACCATCTTAATTCCTCTTGATTAAAAAAAGTTTATGTGTACGTGTATCTCTGTTGAGTGTATGCCACGTGTGTGCAGGTGCCCATAGAAGCCAGAAGAGGGCATCAGATCTCCTGGAGCTGGATACAGGCAATTGTGAGCTATCCAATGTGGGTACTAGCAACCGAACTTGGGTCCTCTGGAAGAGCCAGCTCCTCTCTCCCCTTTTATTCTGCGGGCTCTTACATTCAGAGTAGGTCCATCCTCGTGGTTAATCCTCTCTAGAAATGCCAACACAGACACACTCAGAGGTGTCCTTAATTCAGGTGCTTCATGGCTAGTGAAGTTGATAATTAACAATCACAGGGCTCAACAGCCAAGGAGCTTGCCACCAAAGCCCGAGGACCTAAATTTGATGCCTGAAACCCACATAAGGGTAGAAGAAGAGAACCAAGGCCTCAAAGTTGTTCACTGACCTACACACACACACACACGCACACGCACACGCACACGCACACGCACACGCACACACACACACACACACACACACACACACACAATGTGCTCTTTGCTCCACCTCATGCACACACAATAAATAAAAATTTAACTAAGATGAACTACCATAAGTCCACCTCTTGTCAACCTGACATATAAACACCCCTCCTAAAACCAAAACATTCTACCAGCGACCTCTGAAATTAATTGCTTAAAGCCCAAGGCCAAGTCTCTTCCCAGACTCAAGGCAAACTCAACTATGGGTGCCTGTAAAACGTAAAAAAAAAGCCAGGCATGGTGTTATGCAGCTATAACCCTGGCACTGGGAGGCAGAGGCAGGTGGATCTCTGTGAGTTCAAGGCCAGCTTGGTCTACAGAGCGAGTTCCAGGCCAGCCAGGGCTACAAAGCAGCCATGCATTCCTTGACTCCACCTTTATGAGAATGTCTCTTCTGGGGAGACCAAAAGTCACTCAAATCTCTGCTTTGGTTTTGTGTAAATTCTGATTATAAATTTGGTTAAAAGCAGCAAGCAGTATTTGTGCCACAGCTAAATACCATGCTGCCTTCAAATTTCCTCCATCTTTAGAGGCTTCCAGTCTTTAGAGCATAGAAAGGTAGAGACAAGTTCTTTGCTGGAATATAATATGGTCTCAAATCCAATCCTCTTGGCATTCTGGTCTTCTAAGCTCCCAGCAGAACAGCCTGTTAAGCTTCAGAGTTTCACAGCTTGCATCCTC